AACGGTCTTGAACCTCAAGAAATCCATAGACGGGGATTATTCCGTCCAGGCTCTTAACACCGAGCTGATATAGCTCCTCAAAGTGTGAGTGTGAATATAACACCTTTGTTCTTGTGGAATTATATCGTTCATACATACTGTACCATTATTTGTATTTTTGTTTCTCTCTTTTTTTAAGTTACTCTGCTGGCCAGTATTTCTACAAAACGTATGTACATTTTCTGATTTTTAGCGCTGTTCACCTTTCTATTTTACAGGTTGAAATAAATGCCAGGAAAAAATAATAAAATTAATAAAATTGTGTGTAAAAGGATAGTGGCACAGAAAAGTAGCCAAAAAATATTTTTATTACATAAAATACACAATTTATAAAACCATTCACGCGATTCGCCACTAGGGCTTTATCAAAATGGGATAACATTAAAACCTGGCAGATGAGAGTATATATAGGTACACAATTAATTAAAAATTGGCGCAAAAAAAACGTCATTAGTAAATAGCCAATGAGATCAGAGCTAAACATTACATATATTATGAGTAAAATTGAAATTAGAAATAAAATGCAAAATAAAATATATTAATAATAATGTTGGGCACAGTCAATTGTAATACACATTGTAAAAAAACCAAATTTGTGAACTTAAATATGTATATATATCGCTAAAACACGTCACGTGACCCGCACAGTACCTTGGGAGATGTAGTGCGCGTGTCACGTGACCGGCATCTGCACTCATATCGGTGTAATGCATATTAAGTAAATAGACAGGAAGTGTAGTGGGTCGGATAGCGGCGCTTTGCCGCATGGGAATTGTGGTCAGTTAAGTGATGACGCCCTATTATTGGGCGGTGGCTGAAGTGGAAGAGGTTAACACAGTAAAGGAGTTTAAGCATGTGTGGGATAGGCATAAGGCTATCCTAACTATAAGATAAGGCTAGGGACTAAAGAAAGTATTTAGAAAATTGGGCAGACTAGATGGGCCGAATAGTTCTTATCTGCCGTCACATTCTATGTTTCTATGTTTCTATCACAAGGGGGGTGGGCTTAGGGTGCATCACGTGACTCGTGGCACATAATGAAGTGAAGTGTGCGAGTCACGTGATCGGCACCAGCAAAAAGGATATAGGCCCCATGGGAAAGTTAGTTTATAGGTGCGGCCGCCATTTTAATAGGAGGTATGCACGTAATAGGCAGACAAATGCCTGTAAAAATGCTATAAATATTAGCAAATAAGCTAGTATTTATAAAAAAGGAAAATAACTTATAACAGAGTTGTATATCCCAACATATAAATTTGAGTTTACATATCAAGGGGCTGTGTGGGCAAAATGATAGAAGAGGCCATATTGACTGTGGGTATGTGTGTACAAAGTAAAATACATTAGAATACAAAAATACATAAAGTCAAAGTAAATCAAAAAATTAAAAATTATAAAACACAAAAGAATAACTGGAATAATAATTGAAAGAAAGTAACAACTTATTGTTATATGACCCTAAATAGTATAAATATAAGTAATCTAGCGTTATGATAGTATATACAGAAATATAAATATATATAAAAATATAAGATTATGTATAAAAAAGAAGAGGTCAGGTTGAGGGCATCCTAGACTATAATGCCGTAGGTAACAACTATGAATAGGAAGGCCCCAAGATGACAGCAAGAACAGTACATATACTTGATGCAGAGACATATAAAATGGTAAAATAATTGAGAAAACTAGACATATGGGTTTACAAGAAATTATATAGATCAAAATCTGCGTTTAAGCCCTGGGGAGCTAATGTCTGTAAATTGAAGACCCATTCCATTTCGGATCTTCCTAAAATGTTTTTTTATGTTACCACCTCTCCAAGGGACCTTACATTTTTTAATTCTGACAATTTTAGAAATTTTGGATCTCGGTTGTGTTTGACGAAATGTTTAGATACAGAATGTTTTGGGTACTCATTTTGGATATTTCTGCAATGTTCTGCTAATCTTGTTTTTAGGCACCTTGTAGTCATACCTATGTATTGGAGGCCACATGGGCACTCCAATAGGTAGATAACATTCATTGTATTGCATCCAATAAAATCTCTTATGGTGTAACTCTTATTCGTTATGTCTGATCTAAAACTGGTAACTTTTGATTTTACAGAGGGGTCAGTATTTTTGCACACAATGCAGCGTTTGCATCTATAAAAACCTTTTGCTCCCTCTAAAAAATTGTGATTGTTATTTTTGATTTCTTTAGTGTAATTGTTAGTTAAAATGGATTTAAAAATGGGTGCACCTCTGAAAAAAAAAAATTTGGTTTTGTTGGTAAGATTTCTTTGAGAAGGTCATCTTGTCTTAAAAGGTGCCAATGTTTGTTAATTGTTTTTTTTAATAAAACCACTTTTGTTATTATAATTAAAAATTATAGGAAGGGTGGGAGCTTCTGAGGTGTGTTTGTCCTTATAAGTTAAAAGACTTTCTCTTGATTTATTTCTCACTAGTTCTATAGTTTCATTTAATTGTGTTGGTGAGTACTTTTTTTTCTATAAATTGTTGTTTTAAAAGCAGTGACTGTTCATTAAAATCATCAATGTGAGAACAGTTTCTACGTATGCGTAAAAATTGGCTCTTAGGAGCACTTTCAAGCCAGGGCTTGTAGTGGCAGCTGGTTTGGTCTATTGCTGTATTAGTGCATACTTTTTTGAAAAAAGTTTTTGTGTGTACTGTCCCATCCTTGATAAAAATATTTAAATCTAAAAAGTTGATTGTGTTTTTGCTGTATTCGCAAGATAAAATAATCCCTCTGTTGTTAGAGTTAAGGTGAGTTGTAAAATAATTGAGGGAATCCTTAGAGCCCTTCCATATAAAAAACAAATCATCAATATATCTAAAATAGGAGACCAGGCTGTGCTCCCAGGCATGCCGTCCCCAGACGGCACTGGATTCCCAGTCCGCCATAAAGAGGTTGGCATAGCTGGGGGCAAACCTGGTCCCCATAGTTGTCCCTCTCTTTTGAAGGTAAAAAGAATAAAAAAAACAGAAGTAGTTATTATTTAAAATAATGTTAATACCCTCCACAATAAAATCAATCTGAGTGTCTGGAATTCTTTTTTCTTTTGATAAAATAGTTTTAACAGCCTGACAACCAAGTTGGTGAGGGATGATGGTATATAGAGAGGTGACGTCACATGTGACAAGTATAAAATCTGGTTCCCAATAAAATCCATTTAAAAACAACCTTAATAGTGTCATGGAGTCCTTTAAGTAGGATTTCATAAGTTTTACTGATGGTTGGAGTAAGGTATCGCTATATTGGGATAAGTTGCATAGAGGGGAACTGATCCCAGACACTATGGGTCTACAGGGGGGGAAATTTGACGTCTTTGTGTATTTTCGGAAGAAAATAAATTACCGGGATTTGGGGATTTTTAATGAGTAGATAGTTATATTCTTGTTTGTTTAAAATATTTTCATCTAGTCCCTTTTTTAAGAAAGTGGTTAGTTTTTGTTATATTGAAGATGTTGGGTATTTTGGTAATTTTTCGTATGTTGCAGTGTCATTTAATTGTTTATACGCTTCCTCAATATACATAGTACTTGATTGGATGACTAAACCTCCCCCTTTATCTGCAGGTTTGATAACAATGTCTCTATCTTCTTGAAGTTGTTTTATAGCTAGTTTTTCCAATGTATTTAGATTTTGGGTGTCGTATTTATTGTATCTAATTTTGTTAAAATCCCTTAATACGAACTTCTCGAACATAACGAGTGGAGCTGATTTAAAATGATACGGATAAATTCAATGGGAGTTCTGTAAGACCTTATTGTAAGAGTTAGTTAAACCAAAGTCCAGATGTGTCAAAAAGATACTTTATGGCATGAAAAGGAGACTTGTAGTCTACCAGAATTTTTTAAGTATAACAGCAGGCCATGATCAGTTACCCATAAAGATAAGAAAATTTTACGTCATTTCAATCACAAAATTCAATTAAACCTTTAGACAAACTGGTAGTTGGAATTTGTGATGAAAATTTATTGAGATGCAATAATGCCATCTACTGGTCAATGTCTATAAGACAATCATTAGAATAAGGTATATCCACCTAATCCAATTGGTCACTTTAAATTAGCAAAGTAAAGAAATTCAAGTGAATTTAGTGAATTCTTTAAAAATTAGAATTTGACTAGAGTTGAGTGGACACCTGGATGTTCAGGTTCGCCAGGTTTGTCCTGAACATGGGCAAAAAGTTAGAGTTCGGCTTCGTTCTAGACCCGAACTTGACCCCGAACCCCATTGAAGTCAAAGGGAACCCGAACTTTTGGGCACTAAAATGGCTCTAAAAAAGTCCTGGAAAGAGCTAGAGGGCTGCAAAAAATATTGGGACACATAAAAAAAGAAAACAAAGAATAAGTGCACTTGAGTATAACAATGGCTGGGTGAGGCCGGTATAAATGTCTATTCTGCACAAGGTACAGACAAGTCTGGTGGGATCCATGCCTGGTTCATTTTAATAAACATGAGCTTGTCCACGTTGGCTGTGGACAGATGGCTGCGCTTGTCTGTGATAACGCCCCCTGCCCTGCTAAACACATGTTCAGACAATACACTGGCTGCACGGCAGACTAGCACCTCCAAGGCATAAAGGGCAAACTCAGGCCATGTGCCCAATTTGGAGACCTAGAAGTTGAATGGGGCAGACCCATCAGTCAGTACGTGTAGGTGTGTGCACACGTACTGTTCCACCATGTTGCTGAATTCTGCCTCCTGCTAAGACATTCCATATCAGATGGTGGTGCTGGTTGTTGTGGCGTGCTGACAAAACTTTTCCACATTTCGGCCATGCTAACCATGCCTTCTGAGGTGCTGGCGGTGCCCCAGCTGCGTTGGTGACCTCTTCCTCCTCCTCTGCCTTCGCCTTGTGCTTCCACTGAGCCCCCGGTGCCAGTTGGGAATGCCTTCAGCAGCGCGTCTACCAGTGTGCGCTTGTAGTCGCGCATCTTCCGATCACGCTCCAGTCAGTGAATTAAGGATGGCACATTGTCCTTGTAACAGGGATCCAGCAGGGTGGCCACCCAGTAATCAGCACAAGTTAGAATGTGGGTAACTCGGCAGTCGTTGCGCAGGCACTTTGGTGACTCTAGATAACCTCTGGTCGATCGCACGTCCACGTGATGGCGACAACGCATTCGGATGTCTGCCCTATCAACTTTCGATGGTAATTTCTGTGCCAAGCATGGTGACCATGGGTAACGGGGAATCAGGGTTCGATTCCGGAGAGGGAGCCTGAGAAATGGCTACCACACCCAAGGAAGGTAGCAAGCGCACAAATTACCCACTCCCGACGCGTGGAGGTAGTGACAAAAAATAACAATACAGGACTCTTTTGAGGCCCTGTAATTGGAATGAGTACACTTTAAATCCTTTAACGAGGATCTATTGCAAGTCTGGGGGAGAGCGACTGACCCGTGCGTGCTCCAGCTGAAACTCCACTATTGCCTGCTGCCGCGCGCACAGCAGTATTTGACGGTTCTATTTGACTCTCAGATATGAAGTGCACATCACAAATTTACTTTATAGCACAAAAAAATTAGAATTTTTCAAATTGCGATGTAACCACAGTATTTGATGGTTCTATTTGACTCTCAGATATGAAGTGCACTCCACAAATTTACTTTTTAGCACCAAAAAAAGTGAATTTTTCAAAGTGCGATGTAACCACAGTATTTGACGGTTCTATTTGACTCTCAGATATGAAGTGCAAACCCCAAATTTACTTTTTAGCACCCAAAAAATTTGAATTTTTCAAAGTGCGATGTAACCACAGTATTTGACGGTTCTATTTGACTCTCAGATATGAAGTGCACGCCACAAATTTACTCTTCAGCACCAAAAAAAAGTGAATTTTTCAAAGTGCGATGTAACCACAGTATTTAACGGTTCTATTTGACTCTCAGATATGAAGTGCACGCCACAAATTTACTTTTTAGCACAAAAAAAAATTGAATTTTTCAAAGTGCAATGTATCCACAGTATTTGACGGTTCTATTTGACTCTCAGATATGAAGTGATGCCACAAATTTACTTTTTAGCACCAAAGAAATTTGAATTTTTCAAAGTGCGACGTTACCACAGTATTTGACGGTTCTATTTGACTCTCAGATATGAAGTGCACGCCACAAATTTACTTTTTAGCACCAAAGAAATGTGAATTTTTCCAAGTGCGATGTACCACAGTATTTGATGGTTCTATTTAACTCTCAGATATGAAGTGCACGCCACAAATTTACTTTTAGAACCAAAAATGTGAATTTTTCAAAGTGCAATGTACCTACAGTATTTGACAGTTCTATTTGACCCTCAGATATGAAGTACACGCCCCAAATTTACTTTTTAGCACCAACAAAATTTTAATTTGTCAAACTGCAATGTCACAGCAGTATTTAAAAATGCCTAGATGTTGCCCACTGAGCTACCAGAACAGGATTAAAGTAATGTGCCTGGCACACATGCAGTTGCAAGTGCCCACCTAACAAACAGACTGATTGCTTATTTCTCTGTGGCACTGGGCTCAGGGCAGGGTACAAAAATGTAGTATAGCACCCACAAATATAATCGCTGTAGTTTGCAGATTCAACACCAGAATTCTTTCCTAATCTGTCCCTCAAAGCTGCAGCATCATCTCCCTACACTAATAAGAGCTCATGTGACTCCAGCTTATATAGAGGCTGGGTCACATGCTGCACTTGCCAATCACAGCCATGCCATTAGTAGGCATGGCTGTGATGGCTTCTAAGGGCACACAAGTCAAACTCTTGTTGATTGGCTGCCCTGCAGCTTTTCAAAACCGCCAAACACCGAACTCGAACTGTTACTGAAATGAGCACTCCTAGAACTCCCAAGTGGAAATAGGTACAAACGAAGTTGAAGTAAAATACAATGTGAGAGGAAGGTATAACACACACTGGGACAACAGACAATACTAATGATCCTACTTGGCAACAAACTGTTTATTTAGATATGTTTATATAGTTATGTTAACAAAAAAGGAATACCATGTCTAATGCATATGATGATACCAAAGTAAAAACTGTGCAGTGAACACTGTGTATGGAACTGAAAAGAATGTTTTAATCCCTCCCTTTTCCTTTCTGTATCCCAATGTTTCTATTTCTCGATTAAACATGAAAAAAAAAATTCTGGGAAAGTAACATTTCCCCTTTAATTTTTGGCCCTTATTATTTGAGATCAAGAGTTACAAAAAAGGTATTCAGGTCAAGGAAAAAAAAAATACAGAAAAAAATCAATAAAAAGAGACATACACTTTTACTTGCTTCATCTTGTCATGTGTTTTCCATGCCCAACACTGATGTTATTCAGTGTGTAGAACAGAGTGGGTATCACTTAGTATACAGTGGGATTCACTGTACAGAGCTGTGGCAAAACTAAGAAGGGACTGTGGGTGCATGTGGCTAAGGTGCCAGATGGAGAGTGCACACCACTTTCAGAGCCAGTTTACCCATAAGGTGACCAGTGGGCCCCTATCTAAGCCTGGAGTTTTGGATCTGATAAGTCTCTTACCCCTCTGGTTCCAGTGCTCTGTTAAGCAGTAAGAGCATAGATACTGGGATTCCCAAAACAATGCCTATAATGACTTCACCAGCAGCACACTGTACCACCAGATAATCCACAAACCACCAGCGTACCATGTATTGTTGCACAGTCCACCTTGTTCAGGTAAGCAGAATACATCCCAGGACTTGTATACTGTTTTAAAATGCAGCTTTTATTGCTCAAAAAAATAAAGAATCAACATTTCAGTTTGACATGACAAACTTTAATCTGGAAAGTTTGTAATATCAAACTGAAATGATGATTTGTATTTTTTTTGAACAATAAAAGCTACGTTTTAAGGCAATATACAAGTCCTGGGGTGCTATCTATATATTGGCTTTTATATTTTTGCTGACTAGAACCGGGCAAGTATCTGGAGTGCAGGATCCTTTAGTATATATATATATATATATATATATATATATATATATATATATATTCCAAGTAGAGAGCACTCTGGAGTCTTTGTAATAAATTCAAACTGTTGCTTTATTTTGCAAAAACAGTGATACAACATAGAGGTCGACGTTTCAGTCTATGCAGACTTTTTTCAAAACAATTGTTACAGTGTAATAGTGGCGGTTAAATAGATTGGATCTGATTGGACGGTGATTTAGTGGCACAGATAGCACCCTGGTGTCCCGACATTTCTTTGATAGGTGACATAACCTTGCCTCACTACGCTTTATGGGCATTGATCATGTGCCCATTTCACCCAGGGGTGGTAATCACGATATAGCACTGCTAAAGAAAGAAGCAATTTGGATTCACACCCATATATCGCCCACTGGATTGAATGAGAAAAAATCTCTTTATTGCTTTCTACAACGGAGATGAACATTCTCTATACCGCTGAACAACATACTGATTAGTTTTTTGCATAAAATTGATATTATGTTTGCATATAATTTGATATCCTGTACAGTATGTATGCTTATGATCCCTTGCCACCACTCCTACATGAACAATAGTGCCAGTTTAACGTGTTACAATCCCGTAAAGTATGTTGCGTCTACTAGGACCCATGTATACTTTCTAATATGCAACAATGTTATACATATTTTGATGGGCACTATTTCTCTCACTATACCCTTACTTTGGTATCAGGTCTATACCTTGTAAATATTTTGTGTGTATCTTATGTTTCCCTTTAATGTAGTATTATTTTGTCTCTGTATACACACAGGGTTAATCTCACATTTTAAGTGATCTACACCTTTTTTATGTCATCTCTGACGTCACCTAATTTCGTGTTCGCCTTACTCACCCTCCATTTAGATCTTCTCTGCTTTGTATTTAACCTCCACTATTACACTATAACAATTGTCTTGAAAAAAGTTTTCATAGACTGAAACGTCGACCTATACGTTGTATCATTGTTTTTGCGAACTAAAGCAACAGTTTGAATTTATTACAAAGACACCAGAGTGCTCTCTACTTGGATTATATACATTTTGGTGGAAGATTCAGCACCGGAGTAGCTGAAAGTGTTGATTGGATTAGCCATATTAGTCAAGTAGACAAGATGCCAAAATACCAGAGTATTGTAGTATTGATCAGAATTACTTCAGACCGGAGAAAGAGAGGAAAATCTCAAAAGCTTGTCTTTGTAATTTTATGTTAGTCCAATAGAAAAAAGGTATCATTGCATTGCATACTGCAATACTCTGGTATTTTGGCATTATAGATATACCAAAGGATCCTATAAATAAAATTTACATTCCCTGTCAGAAATTGTGAAGTTTTGGCATTGATTTTGAAAATATGACTGATCATGCAATACATGTCTTTTATTGAAGGATAGTGATCATATGAAGCCATTTATTATCACATAGTTGTTTGGCTCCTTTTTAAATCTTAATGATAAACAGAAATCATCCAAATGGCTCTGATCAAAAGTTTACATTCCCTTGAATGTTTGGCCTTGTTACCGACACACAAGGTGACCCATACAGGTTAAAATAGTAATTAAATGGTGATTCCCCCTCCCCCATGGCTTTTTAAATTGCAATCGGTGTCTGTGTATAACCCCTTAGTGACCAGACCGCTTTCAATTTTCTTACCGTTTGGGACCAGGGCAGGTTTTAAATTTCTGTGCTGTTTGTGTTTAGCTCTAATTTTCCTCTTACCCATTTACTAGACCCACACATATTATAAACCGTTTTTCTCACCATTAAATGTTCTTTCTAAAGATACTATTATGTTCATCATAACATATAATTTACTATAAAAACAAATATGAAATATGATAAGAAAGACACTTTCTAAATTTGACCCCCCCAAAAAAAACACCTGTGCTAAATAGTTTCTAAATTTTGTCCTGAGTTTAGAAATACCCAATGTTAACATGTTCTTAGCAAGTTATAAGGCTATACGTACAAGTAGGACATTGCTGTTTCAAAATATATATATTTAAAATATATCAATAGTGACATTGTAACACTGTTATCTGTCATAAATTTGAATCACACCTCACATGTACAATTTTTTTTAAAGTAGACAACCCAGGGTATTCAATATGGGGAATGTCCAGTCTTTTTTTTTAGCCACTTAGTCACAAACACTGGCCAAAGTTAGCATTTATATTTGTTTGTGTTAAAAATGCAAACAACTATTATGAATGCTAACTTTGACTAAATGGTGTCATGGCCTACCTGAGTTGGGAGACCGGTAGGCAGATATTTATGCTCACCTTTGCAATTAAACACAGGCCAAGGTGGTCAGGTAAGAATTCACCTGGCCTGTGAGTCTGTGCACGGGGGCTGTGTAGAATATTGCTCCAAGTCGCAAGTCCTTACAGGTAAGGACACAAGCAGGAGAATTGTCAAGGGTAAGCCAAAGTCAGAGGATGCCAGAAGTCAGGATACACTGTA